AGTTCTCTCCTCATGCCAAGAGAATAAGCTTTAATTTGTCCAACTGCAGCGATTCCCTTATAGCACAAGAAATAAATCACTCCTAGAAGGGTAATGGCTCCTGCAGGAGCCTGTGGCGAAAACAGAGCCAGAAAACATCACACTCTTATTGTCGTCTTCATCCTGGGTAATTACTGGGCAATGTCCCTCCAAGACAATTACTGAGAGAACCTTTATTTCTGCATTAACAGGAGGCCATTTAAAATATAGACAGCTATAAGTGACGTCAGCTTGTCAGCACCTCCTTAATCCCTTAAACACAGCCGTGTGCATGAGTGGATGTGATGGAAATATGTTCTAGCCGCAAATGGATGAACTCACCACGATCTCTCAGATCTTGCAGTTATTCATTTCACTGTGCTAAGACAAGAAGACATAAACTGTATAAAAATTGTTCTATTCCAAAGGTCCCTGCAACACAGTGAGGAAAAACAAAATGATTCATACTTTGGGAAGGAACGGATTCTTTCTACTGTTGACATTTGAACTGATCACGACCTCACAGGAAGAAATGCACTGCTGAGAAACTACTTTCTTGTACATGCTGTACAGCTGTAGGTATAAGGAACATAACCGCAATCTTCTAACAATGATAAACCAATGCATTCACCCCTAACACAGTTTCAACCTGTAAATGGCAAATGGACTAGTTCCTAAATAGCACTTTTTCTACTCTGCTTGACCAATCAGAATGCTTTGTGTAACATGTGTCATTTACCCATTCACACAAACACTTTTTTCTCTGTCTAAGCACTTTCTATCTAACTTATCTAACTTTTGTAAACTAGTCTATCTAGTCTCATCTAACTTTCACACTGGGAGCGACTCAGAGCGCAGATTATTGCCCAAGGATACTTTGGCAGGAGCACCCATGGATCGAACCACTAACCTTCTGAGCGGTAAATGACCTTCTCTAACTCTACCTTCTAATCCACGGCCACCCTAAACCTCTGTAACAAGCAGCTAAATTCAACAATTTTACACCTATGTTTTTGTATTTGGGGGAATGGAGAATTTGTACTAACTAAAACAGATACAGCATGGATATTAGAGTGAGTGTAAAGAGTTAAAATCTTCCTTCTAGCTATGGTCAGTGCAATATCCAACAATTGGGTTTGTGGAAATGCGCGTGAAGCCCAGGCGTAATCACCAACTCGTTTGGGGTTGAAATGAACAATGGCAGCAAAGTGAGGGACGAATAAAGATTGCTTTGCAGATTCTAAATGAACAGACTGGTGGGGATAAAGAACCGATCAGTGTCTTCATCCCATAACATGTGGTGCAGAAGAGCTAGAAACAATCATCTAATCTTCCTACCACAGGTTTGGGGTTAACTTGTTAGCTCGGAAAACTGCAAACAGTGGGGGCTTTTGAAGGGAGATTTCCACACCATGTTCCTTGTTCTACGATTGTTAACACCAACTACATGATGCCAGGCGTCTACTGCACATCATTCACTGGTTAAACTGATGAAAATTTCCATCAACGTTTTGCTCAATTAAAGACTCTAAATGAAAGTTAGCAGTAGATGCCATTACATGGATTGGTGATGGATCCTTTGTCACCGTCACCATCTTTGTGTTTTAAAACAAGAGGTAACCAGTGATTAGAGAATCTTACTGTGAAACTAAGAACACTTCATACTCACTGGATAGCAACTTAAAATTACAAGTCATTAGCTAATGAGTATAGACAATCCTCCTCTCTGACTGTAATAATGACAATATCGTACAAAAGTGACTTCATGTTTTAATCAATACATCCTGAAATTAGTAACTGAGTCCAGAAATTCATCAGGAAAGTGTTTACTGAGGCCGTAATCTCACAGATGTCTACACAAGCAGTGTTTTAGACACAGAGTGGTCAACCCTGCTGGCTGGACATTCCAGACATTTTTTATAAAGTGAAGGACTTTAATGCAATTAAAAGGAAGGACTACAATTCAGCAAATGAGCTTTATTAGTTCAATGTCTTTTGAGCTAAATTCTGGACCAGGCAGGCCATTATAAAATAATGAATATGACACACAAAAAAACAACAACCAGTTAACAAGTAACACAGATTAACACACAAAACTGAAATGGAGAACGTGGCCAGCATTATCCTGCCATCAGTGAGTAAGCATTTCACTGGAAACGTGCAGCTTGCCGGCGTTGTCATGGTACTGGTACTACGTTTCTGAACAATATGCAGTTTATTTTTTGAATATTCTATGTGATTCTTAGGTTCATAGTTATATTTACGTCATGCATAAAGTATGCTTCGGTTAGCCTTCAGTTCTGTGTGGTTTTCGAGTTTTTTTCCGCAGTGTCTAGTCTTCTCGTGTGTTTAGTCAGTCTCATCTTCATGTTTGTTTTTTTCTTGTCTCTGTGTCTGATGTTCCCTTTCTGTCTCTTCAGTCAGTCGTCTCCCCACGTCTGTTTCTCCCCAGTCCCCGAGTCAAGCCTTTGTGGATTAGTCTTCAGCTCCATGTTTATCATACTTCCTGTTTTATTTTGACAGTCTCGTGTCTAGTGTATAGTGCACTCAGTTTCGTTTCCCCTGTCCCGTTAGTCTGCATTAGGTCCAGCTATGTTGCCACCTGTTGCCCATCCTCTCGTTATCCTGTGTGTATTTTAGTCCTCAGTCTTACTCTGCTCGTTGTTGCATTGTCCACTCATGCTATCTTTGAGGTCCTTGTTTCCTGTTCTCTTGGTTCTAGCTTCAACCTTGTGGGGGTTTCTGTTTTTTTGTATCCTTGTTTTTTCTTTGAGCTTTCAAGCTACAGCAATAAAGCTGCCTTACTTAGTTCATTCCATTGTCTCTGAGTCCTGCATTTGGGTCCTGAAACATAGCCGTACCTAATAGATGTTTAAATTTATCTCTGGAAGTTTCAGTCACAGTGCCCTCTGCTCTCACTGTTTCATACAGAAAGGTTTTCATCTCCGGTGTGTGTCAGTTTGCACTTACATAAATGCCAGATCTACTGAGAATAAAAGGCTTTTTTTTTAATTATACAGCGAGGTTCAAATCCATTGTTCTCGACGGTGCTTGCTTATCACGGTCATTTCCTTTGACAATAACAGGAAGGCCAATGATGTAATATCTTTTCATCCTGCTGTGACCCTGCAAGCCAAGTGGGAGCTCTGGAAATGAACATCTCTGTTCCTTTTCTCCCTGCGTGCATTTGACAAACTCTGCAACTCGGCAGCAAAAGCCTCCACCCAAAAACGAGAGGAGTGCACCTTTTCATTAGCAATTATAGTGTTTTCACCAAAGTGGCAGGATCCGAGGACAGGAAGCCTATAATGTTGCCTGGCTCTGACAGCTCCTGCGTGAAACTATCATTACTACTGTTTGTGCCATTACAGCTGCATTTTCCAGCTTGTGGGTATGGATCAGGCCCCGTGTGTACACACGAAGGTCACAGCTGAGTCACTGCCCAAGCAAATGACTAAGATCAGACATGGCTGAATGTTGACAATTTATCAAGTTGCAGGACATTGCTCCTTGCCTTGCTGTTTAAAAATCTATTTATCAGCTTAGCAGAGCCTCCTTTTTTAAAATAAATCTATAGTCTACTATGAGACATGGCTGGGAAAAGCTTAGGTTGCATTGTTTATCTCATTACCGGATTCAATCTGTGGCTCATTTCATTAACTCTGCGTGTGCAGCACTTCTGCAGCTTCCCAGCAGATTGTGCACCTGTAAAGCTTCACTGCCCTCAGAAGAACAAATTGAACATACGGAAGGGAAAAAATAGTATACTTTAGCAGTAGATGTTAATGTGGTTAATTACTTAAATCACCAATAACGAGTGACAGCAGTCAGATTAATCCCTGCAGAATAATTAATAAAGAGTATTTATATACTTCCCTCATGGGGCTTGGGAGGAGAGCTGACGCTGGCTTTACTTGGCACAGAGTAAAGCGTTAAGGTGTCTCCTTTCTCTATATTTGACGGTATCCATTCCCTATGCAAGGCTTGCGCAATATTACATTTCACCAGCGGATCTGCATTTGGTCTGAATGTGCGACTGGGAGGATTTTTCAAAGTGACCTCAAAAATAGACTCCTTTAAGATGAAAGTGTTGAGATGCAAAGGGCATCTTCTCAAGTGTACAGGACATTTTGTACTTCCTCAAATCTACCAGAGGAATTACTATGATATTACGAGAGACCTTAGTGTATTTTAAATATCTGTACAGCATCTTTAGGTGGGAAACTGAACATTTTTTCAGCCTAGATGCATTATTATTGTATCTTATGAATGAGATCAGGGGACTAATGTGTGTCTAAGTTACAAAGTCTGTAATTACTAACAGCTCTGAACGCTAACTGAGATGAAATAACAAAACAGGCTAGGCAACATCATCACAGGACAACATTAACCCTCAACTGCGGTTTGTTTGCACACCGCTTCCAACAAGTACAAAACACAACATCTACACCCTGATGAGGGAACCAATCAGCCAGTCTTGCACCTGTCCAGTTCAGATAGCCTGAGAAGTTATCTAACAAAGTAGATTTTTCGTGTCAAGGCGCTTTAGGATTTGAGCGTTATTGTCTCCGCCAGATGAAGATCAAAAAGCGAGCTTTAACGGGACAATGTTGCCAAAAGGGTTATATAATACAGATGAAATTAAACGGGACGCCTTGTAAGTGGTTTAAGGGTATTAATTTCAAGATGTTCGTGCTCGCAGAAACCCCCTCGATAGTTTGACGAAAGAACTGAGCGCTCCGGTCTGGAAAAATACACGGACGGAACCGACGGGCTTTTATTTAGAAAAGCCAGAGCTCATATTGCCTTGAAATAGCGACTCACGCAGACGATGTGTAGAAAATCCGAGCTGGACACACACACCAAAAAACAAAAAACATCAGAATCTAACCAAATCCTCGCTCAAGTTTTTTGGGGGAAAAAAAGGTTGAAAATAATCTCTCCGGTGACATGCACAGACTGCAAAGCTCCGAGCGCCTTACCTCGATCCAGTGTGAGCGGTTGGACCACTGTCGCCATGACTGCTGTTTACTGGAGACTGAAGAGCCTACAGGAGCTGCAGCATCACAGGGAGAGAGAGAGAGAGAGGCTGGGAGTGGCTGGGAGAGGATTAGACTATCTCCATCCATCTCCGTCACCTGGTGCTGTTATCAGCTGTTTTGCGCTTTATGCGCTGCTGTTTACGCTCTTAATGGAAAATAGTATTCACTGGGTTTTTTTGGCTTTTTTTTAAAAAAAAAAAATTCTTTTGGTTTTTTCAAGATGAAAATTAATTTGATAACATATAAAAACCAAAAAATACATTAATTTTTTAAAATTCTTTACATTAGATCAAAAATATATGGTCTACAAAAAAAGTGTTGGAAGCGCTTTAAAAGTGCACTCTTTCTAATGGCCAGCAGGGGGAGACTCTTATGGTTGCACCAATACCTTGGCTTTAATTTATGATCTCAGGAAACTGTTTCCCCATTAGTTTATGGTCGCAAATGCTAGTTTTGGGCCTCACTGAATACACCATAATGTTTAATTGAATAACTATGGACTTCTTTAGATTAAAAGGGTAGACTAAAGTTGGGTATGTTTTACTATGATATACAAATCACTTGCCTATGAGGATGCAACGTCTCTTAGTGTCACATATTCCTCACATATGTCTTGATGCATGCTCAATCATCCGGGTAAGTAAATCCCAAAAGGTTGATTCTGTTCATCTGGACGAAAACGTTAGGTCCAGATGAACAGAATCAACCTTTTGGGATTCCTCACATCTGGTTTCAAAGCACCTTCATGCTTTACAACAGGGCTCTGAGAGGTCACAGTGGCTACATTTATCTTTAATACACAATCTTTGGATTAATCATGTGCTGTATATAAAATATGGACTTTGCCATACTCTGCAGTTTTTCTAATGGCTAACAGGGGGCAAAAAGTCTGATCGTATAGCACTGCAGTCTGACAATCATATGATTCATTTCGTTTTGCAAGCTACATTTAATTTGAAAAGCTGAGTTAATGTAAACCTATATCAATGAATGAAATCAATCAATAAAAGACGTCCAGCTTTTCAGGAGAAAGAGTAATGTGGTAAGTTCAACAGAGAATGCGGCCGTGTTGTATTCAAAGTTTTAATGTTGAACATATTGTTTAAAAAACAGGATATAGGCCGCAGCTGTGATATCAGAGTTCCCTTTTCTTCATGGGTTTTCAGCAGCATTTGGGAACTTATTTGCAATGTTCTACTCTTACATAGGCACAAAAGCTTTTGTGAAAAGCACTGGTCCTGCTTCCAGACAGTCCAGTTCACCACAAAAGTGTTGCACAGAGTTACAGTCAGGACTCTGTGCACAACTCTGTCTTCTTGCATACCAAACAGGGTGAGCCGTTTCTTAAAGAACCTGCCTTTGTGAATACTGACAATGTAAAACTGCCAGAGCACACATCTTCTTTGAATTGATTTAATTCCACATATTACTGAACATGTTTATTTTTTTACAGTTTATCATAGCCATCTTCTTCCACTTATCCTATTCAGGGTTGCAGGGAGGCTGGAGCCTCTCATGGCCTTCACAGAGTGAGAGACCCTTTATTTCCCTGTAGGAAAAGCAATTCTCTGCATTTATCCCATCCTTAGTATTTGAGGCTGTGGGCTCGTGGGATCAACTCCACACTTCAAGTCTGTGCCTTGGTCAAGGGCACAATTACAAGAAAATTAACCCAGCATGTTTTGATTGTTGGACAAACTGGAGCAGTTGGAGGCCACGGAGGTGTGAGGAGAATAACCAAACACCACATACAAGGGCGTTACCTTTGCCATGATTCAACCCTAGAATCTGAACTAACAGCTATTCACCGTTACTACAAGATGATTTTCTTTTCAGCGCTGTCTACTTGACTCGACTCACCTTAAGTGCCTTTGATAAAAGCAGGCATCTCAAAGTGCTTTTGATGGCAAGCCCATAAATGAAATTACACGTAATTGTCAGGCACAAAACTGATTTTAAAAACATACATTACAACCTTAACAACTAAGCATAAAGATATAACACTTCAGTACGTCACGTCAAAAGCCAAATTAAGATAGATCTTTAAACTCCTGAATATCGAGAGAGCTCTCCATTCTGACATCAGGAGTGTTACTCAGTTTAGGCTCATAAAAACAAGAGGTAGCCTGACTAGTGCTCTCATGGGACACATAAGATACCTTTTAAAGGAAGAGGGATGGCGGACCTTAGTCATTAAGCTAATAATATGTTGAAAAACAGTCAAAATTGGTATTCCATCTTTCACAGTAACGTATTTGAAAAGTTTCACCATATTGCAGTCAACCATGTTACAGGATATTGCATATTGCAGTCAACGACCTGGATTGCATGCTGAATCTCACAATGATGCTCACATGTGTGTTTTGTGCACACATGAACACTTACACAGCTATAATCCTTGCACTTCAGAGATCAGGTGATTGCAACCAAGCTTGCCATGGAGGCTCATTGTGAACCACTGAGCCATACTGCCTGTTATCTTCTCTCCTGGCTACATGCACAGCATACAGCCAGATAAGGACCGAATGACGGTAGTGAACCTAAATTGGAGGGCTTAAGAATTAATCCTCATGTTTATGTGCTACCACAGAATGGTGCCAAACCACTGGCTCTCTTCATTTACTGTAGATCTGTTGCCTAATGGTGCCTGCTGCTTTGGCGTGTCTCATACATGGGCAGACATTACAGCTGACAGAAGCCATGCTCAACAGAAATAAGAAGAGATTCCCAGGTTGGAGAGATGCTAAGGCAGCATGACGTGTCACATGGCTCACGAACCATGACTTCGCCATGACAAATGCAAGTTGTAAACATGAATACACACCTGAGGCAATGACTAGCACTTATACTAATATGTGCACAGCTGTTTAGAGCAAAACCTAGGCTCATAAACACAGACATTTTACTTAAATCCCATTTATCTTGTCATGCATTGCACTAAATATTGTAGCCCACACCCAGCTGGGAGGCAAATACCACACCTCTTTACCTCACTTCACTTCAAATTGGCTGCTATATCTAAAACATTAAATAAATTTAATGTACCGCTGTTATATATCATTTAAATTCTATTCTCAGCACTTTTAAATATTTAACAGCTTCCTCTGCATTTGAATTAAACAGTTTCTAAACTTGCACGCTTCTTACAAACACATAGTCCTTAAGTAAAAGCAAATTCAATCCACCAACAGTCCCACACAGCTGTGTGCAGATGCAAAATAGTGGTGAGTGGTAGGCTGCAAGGACGGTTTGAGAGGGCGAGGGCTTAGAGAGCACACAGAAAGAGGGCACGGCGAGATTACAGGCTTCCATCTATATGGGCGGGAATACAGGTCTGCTTTTTTTTACGAGGTTGGGATTATGCTGCACTGGTCTTTAAGCCGCAAAGCTGCAAGTGAATTGATTTCTGAAATGCCTCCACTTCCACGGAAAGAGATGCAAGAGGCCATGTGGACAGGGCAAATACAGACGGCTGGACTGTTTGCCTAGCAGATCAAAGCTCAGAGCATTAGCCAGTGTGCAAGTTCTATTTGTATCTTCAATTCCCATCAGTACCCATTCAAATTGAATTCAACAGGTAAGGTCATATGGGCATTTGGGGAAAAATTGGAACCTTATTCCTTTTCCTGCCACACATTCGTAAAAAAAAGATCAATATCACTCACATGGCTTTGATAAAAGGCTAATAAAATCCATAAAGGTTAGATTTTGTTTGGTTGACACAGAGAGTAAAGCTTTTAGCTCGAATTTATCCGACGGTGGTTTTGCGGTGAGGGAAATAAGTATTTCACTAAATGATAACATGGGTTTCATTTCCAGGTAACAACTGCTTATTAAAAC